CCCCTGCCCCGGGTGCGGGTGCTCCCGGCCCCTCCCGCTCCCCGGGCCTTCCCCCGACTGGTGTAACTGGTCCTGAGTGGGGCTGGTAGGGGTGTGGGGTGTGTCCCAGGAGTGCCTTCAGCTCCCCGCCAACCGGGGTGCGGTTTCAATGCACCTGCATCACCCCCTTGCCTGAGTTTTGGGGTTCCCCAGCTGAGCTGCGGGAAGCTGCGAAGCTGTTTGTTGCTTTGCGGAGGCTGCCGAAGGCAGCGCCATCCCCGTGGGAGGGGACGGTGACCCGGCCCTGGTCCTTCCCTCCCCGGTGGCTCCAGCAACCTGTGATCGTGAGTCAGGGCGAAGCTTTATCTGGGTTGCGGAGCTCCGGGGTGGCACCTGGGCCGTGGCAGTGGGGTGAGGACGGGGCGATGGGCGCCTGACCCCGGCAGGGAGGGCTGGAGGGTGGCCCGGGCAGGGTGTCGAAACATCCCCCCCTGCTACCTGCCATGGCTTGCCTGGACATGCTGGGACTTGCCTTGCGGTGAGGTCACCCTGTCGATGTGCTCTGGCTGCCAGGAGATAGGCAGCTGGATTTCTATTTTTACTCAGGGATGCTCAGGCTGGGTTGGGAACGGGGGCAGGGCAGAGGGTCAGGGTGGCCCCGGGGATGGAGGGTGCTCCCCCCCTCCCCAAGCCCCCTGGGCTGGAGGTTCTCCAGCAGCCTGCTGGCACGCCGTGCTGGTGGCGTGTCTGGGATTGCAGCACAGGCCATGCAGAGGGGCTGGGAGAGCTCAGTTTGGGCAGAAATCTTCCCTGCAGGAGGCTGAGCACCCCATCCCTGGGGGTGTTTTGGGGTGCAAGCCTTGGGGGGGGTGTCTGTCCCAGATTAGATGGGCATTGAGCACCCTGCCTTGCTGCAGGGATTTTATTTTTGTGACTCTTGTTTTTTTAAAGCAGATTTAATGAGCACAGCTCTCCAAGCAGGGTCGAGCCATCGCTCCAAAAGCAGTCAAATGCCAGAGTGCTGTTTGCTTTGCTCTGATAACGAGGTTCCTCATAACCGTGGGTGGCGTGAGGGATCCGTTAACCCCACGCATATATAAGGGGGAGGACTGCTTGGAAGGAAAGGCTTTGCCACTTACTGTGAAGGTCAAGGCTTTTGGCACCGATTTGTAAAAAACCAAACAAACAGGATCTTGTCTCTGGTTACCCAACAGCTTCTTGCAGATAACAGGGGTGGTTAACTAAGCGGTCAAGCTTGTGGCATGTTCTTGCAGTTGCTTAAAAGGCTTTCTAGCCACCGGCCCTGGGTTCTTGAGATGAAGAAACTGGCCAGAAAAACATCCTGTTGCTTCACTTGCTTGTGTGCCAACTTGCCTTGTGCCTGTGTAGAAGTGGGAACGCAGTGGGGTTGTGGATGGAACCAGTGGCAGCGTTGAGGTGCCGGATGCTCTGCCCTGGTGGGGCTTTACCTGCTGGGGGAGGAATGGGGAATGTCACCATTGCCCCTTCCCCTTCCTTCTGCATCGCACCAGGCTCAGGCCTCTGCCCAGGACACTGCTGAAATCCCCGATGTCCGAGTCCAAGATGGGTGCTGGCGGACAGTCTCCTCTGGGCTGCCTTGTTCCCACCTTGGCTACTGTGTGCTTTTCTCTGTAGCAAATGTGCTGGCCCTTGGGCCTGTTTGTGGCTTGCCCAACACCCCAGTAACTTGCTCTGCTTTCTTCCCAGGTGCCACGGCCCCGTGGACCACCACGAGCTCCAGAATGAATTTGAGGGAATGTTGAAGCAACACCTGGAAGAAGCTCGGCAGCGCTGGAACTTTGACTTTGAGACGGAGACTCCCTTGGAAGGACAGTTCAAGTGGGAGAGGGTCCTCCAGGCTGAGCAGCCCCCCCAGGAGGTCCACAGCCTGGCCAAGGCCACCAGCAGTGAGAGCTCCTCGGTCCACAAGGTCCCTGCCAAGATCCATCGCAGCAGGATTTCCCCTGAGTATCAGCAGAGCTTGGAGATTTACAGGGCTGCTTCCCCGCTGAGCCTGAAACGGGGGCTGACCACCATGAAAGGTGAGTGCTGGAGCCTTGGTGTCACTTGTGGTGGCACTGCTGGTGTTGTGGCTCTCCTGGTAGGGACAGGTGGAGGGGACTTGGGTGCAAGAGCCCTGCCTGGCTCCTGGGCATGGGGAGGGGACCACCCTTCATGCATCTCTCCTGGGGGAGCAGAACCCATCTTCCAAGGGGAAAAGGCCACAAACTGGGTGACTCTTGGTTGCTGGGGGTCAGGCGGGGGGCTTACATCGGGTCTGTGGGTTTTATAGCTGAAGATGCCCAGAAATAGTTCATCCCCTTCAGTTCTCATGGCCTGAGACTGTCCTCTAAGATCAGGGCCCGGAGTGGAAATGCAGGTGAGGCCAAACAGAAGAGATGGTGGAGACCTACAGGCTCCTCTCTCCAGGAATTTTGGGTGGGTGGCTCTAAGATGGAGCACACCTGGGCTGGGTTTTGGGGTGCTTCTGTGAGGACACCTCCCTCTTCCTCCCCTGCTGCAGGCACTTCCCAACCCTGTCTTTCTCCCCTCCAGACTTCTACAGCGCTAAGCGGAGGACTGTCCACAACAAGCCTAAGCCTGACAAGCCCAAGCCTGACAAACCCAGGCTGTGACATGGTGGAGCTCAGCTCCTCTTGCCACTGGGAACAGCCGCTGATGCTGATGTGCCCTGGGGGTGTCGGTGGCTCTTTTCCCCCACCCTGTACTGTGTAAGCTGTCTGTATGAAGCGATGTAGAATCTGTAGTTTCCTATTTATGAGTAGCTCTGGGGTCCTGAGGGACCTTCACCGTGTGCAATGTATAGGAGTAGTTGATGTTGAGGCTTGTAGCCCCGTGGAGGGGATGGAGGAGGACTGAAATGGGCCTGATGGGGCTAAGGCGTTGCCTTGCCTGCAGAGAAGTGTGTGTCCTTGGTCCTGTGGTGGTGGGGCCAAGCATTGTCCTTGCACCACCCTCCTGTCCAGCTGTGGCCCTTCCCCTCCCCGATGGCTGGCCATGGAGGATGCTGGTGCCACCAGCTGGCTGGGACAAGATAAAGGGTCACAGCTGTGGGCTGTAGAGCCCTGGGACAGCCGGGCTCTGAGGACACCCCGGCTGCTGGCACATGGTGGTGGTTCCCTTCCCAGCGGTGGCGAGCCCTTGGCCGTGCCTGCGAGCAGAGTGACTCAGGGGCTGCTCCTTCCCATGGCTGCTTGGGAGAGGAAATGCTGTTCCCTGGACAGCCCTTCCTTTGGGTGACTCACCGGTGCTGTCACCTGTCAGACAGGCTGCAGATGGTGACAGACCTGCTGGAGGTCCCTAGGGCTGAGCTCATGGTGGGACCAGTGCTGCCTGGGAGGCTTTGGGGTCCCCTGGACTCTGCTGACCCAAACCCCCACTTTCTCACCTTGGTGGCGGTGCTTTGCCTCCGTGTTCCTGCCTCCTCCAACACTGACACCAGGCTGAGGAGCTGCCTGCTCTGCCTCTTGGTCTGCTCCAGGAGAGTTCTGCTCACCAACAAGAATGACATTGAAAGACAAAATTGTTGCTTTTTTCCTGGACTACTCCTTTGGGGCAGAGTGGGGGAAAGGAGCCTCACTTGGCTCTGAGCGGCTGGCTTGGGTCACCTCTGGGACTGAGGGATGTCCTGGAGCGAAGGCTGCTCGCTCCCAGCGCTGAAGGATGAGTCTCCCTGCTCTTGAAGGACTCAACACTGTCAGATCTCGGCACTTTGATGGGGCTCATCTCCTGCTCTGCTGGATTTGGACTCTGGAAACTGGTGCAAGATGGTCCCAGGCAGAAAAGGGATGGGGTCAACCTCCTGCCTTGCACCGTGATGCACTTTGCTGTCAGTGAAGCTGGCAAGCTCCCAGCACTAAATGTTTATTTATATTAAAAAAAAATGCTATTAAGTCTGTGTGGGGGGAAGGGAAAATACCTGTTTGTCTATAAATGTTAACTCTGAATAAACACTTGTGTAAAGGAATTGCTGTCTGGGTTAATGGAAATAATTGTGCTGGGAGCAGGGTCTGGCTGTGGGGAGGGGGGTGCTCTGGTCTGGGGGCTTGGGGGTCACTCTGGGGGTGCAGCCCTGAGCTGGGAGGTGCCTTTGAGCTGGCTGTGGCACGGACCCAACTGGGCTGCTGTGGGGAGGGGCTGTCACAGCCCTGGATGACCCCTCTGTAGGGTGAGACATCAAAGGGGGGGGCTGGGAGGGGCGAGACCTCACCGCAACCCCTGTGCTTTACTCTGCTCCCTTGGGCCAGCTGTCTGCTGCAGACCTGGGTGCAGGATTGGTGCTGCCACCACGTCCCCAGCAGAAGTCACTGCTGTCTCCTGCAGGCTCCTCTGCTGCCCACGCTGTGAGCCCAGCCCTCTGCTCCTAACCCCAGTGCCACTACCTTGTGGGGCCAGTGGCCGTTAGCCAGGGGCAAGCTGGTTACATCTCCACTCCTCCTTTAAAGAGGTTCTGGGTGTGACCCGTGCTGTGGGACAGGGACATATCAGAGCATGTGGTGGCACTGCTGATGGAAACATGCAGCAGCAAGTCCCAGGTGGGGCTGGGATGAGGTGCTGGATGCCAGGGCTGCCATCCCCTGGGGGTCAGGGATGCCTCCACCAGGCAGCGGCTGCTTCCTCTGATCTGTATGTGGACTGCGAGCTCAGGTTCTGGTTAATGTGGTAAATGACCCAATTTGCTGAGGATCTGGATGAAAATAAAATTTTGATGGTGGCAACCTTGTGTCATCGTTCAGCCGAGGATCCCTAAAGCATCTGCCTGTCACCGTAGGGTTGGGTGATGCACACTCATGCCCCTTGAAATGCTCGCAGAGCACAATCACGCAGCCGTTTAGCTGCTGCTGAGCCAAGCCTTACAGATTTAACCCTTTTAATCTTTCCCCTTGTGTCAGGCCTTCCAGCCCCCTTGGCTGCTGCCAGCTGCTCCCTCCTGCTGTCACCTCCCGTTTGTCAGGAGTGGTGGCAATGTAGGAAGCAAGAAATAAATCAGCAAATACCCCCTCATCCTTGTTTGCAGGGCCCTGAGGACACCCAGGGTCTGGTTCTGCTGTGCAAGAGGGACCTTGGCACCTGGGCTTGAGTTTTGTATCTCCCTGGGAGACCCCAGCCCTGTGCCACCTTTCCTGGGTGGGAGAGGACCGTGTCCCCCCAGCTTTGGTGACACAAAATGGTGATGAGCTGAGGAATGGATGGAAATCTTGCGCTTTCAGGTTGTGTTTTGCTGCTCTCCCATCCCAGTCTGTCCTCAGCACGGAGCGAGGATGCCGGGGTTCAAATTCCCACGATGGTTGAGCGGGGCTGGAAGCAGGGTCAGGCGCTTCCCCTCCTTTCCCCACTATATTCAATTCCCTTTTGTCGAGACCTGCCCAGCCTCTCCTCAGGGCTGGAAAGGGCCATTGGTGCTGTGGGGCTGAATTGTACCTTCCTGCAGCTGGTGCTAACCCTGGCTCTGCAGCTGGAAGCAAGACGCTGGAGTCTTGTTGGGCAGAGGACATGAATCAGTGAGCTCTCCCAGGGACATCTAGGGTTTTACCCCCAAAAGCATCCTCAGGGAAAGCAAAACCAAAATTCAGCCTTCTCCATGCAGCGGTAAAGAGCCCTAGAGGTTGTGAGATGTGCTGACAAATGTGAGCTCAGAGGTGGTTTTTGCAAGCTGAGCTCCCCAGCCTGGCCGTGGGTTTGCTTCAGTCTGGGGTAACAGGCTCCAGCTTTGCTCAGATAGTGGAGAAGAAACAGCTGAGCCTTGAACCGGCCTACAAATGCCCAGGTGGAGCGGTTGCACCTGAGCTGGCTGTGGCTTCGTTAGGTTAAACGGCAAACGAGCAGGGCTGGGCTGTGGCCGGGGGGGGGTGTGATGGGGCAGGGCACCTGCGCAGCCGGTTCCCTTGCAAGTGATTTCATCAGATGGGGAGAGACGAGCTCAGGCCCAGGCTGTGAGCCAGGGGGTGTTAATTCTAGTTATGGCCTTAAAATAACAGTTGATGTTTTCCCTTGTTGTTATTTCAGATTTTTGCTTGGGATCTTTTCCCATTTTTGCAGTTAAAATTGAGCAAAAGTGCATGTGACCTGCCTAATTCCCCTGTCCCCTTGCAACTCAGGGTGGTTTCAGACTGCAGGTGGCTTTGATGCTGGCTTTAAAGCAGAATTAATAATTCAGGCAGGAGCCTTGAAAAAAATACCAGTGTGAGCAGCAGAGTGGGGGAGATCTCTAAATCCTGGGGCCAAAGATCCTCCGCAGGGTGGGAGTTGCAGGTTTGTTCTGTCTTTGCAATCTGTGGATTACAGGTAGTCTTGCAGTTTGGGTTATTTGGACTCTTAAAGTAAAGTTTGCTGTTTCTCTGATGTTTTTCCCTGCCCCAAACACCTTCCAGACTTGGCTGGACTGTTGCAAGCAAGGAAAGGATGGGGACTCTGGTTGTGGTTCCTGGTGACACCGGCAGTGCCCTTGCTTTGGGGTTTTGGGGGGCCTGGGGGCACGGTGACCCTCTGGATAGGCCCTTCCCACACCCCACTTGCAATGCAGCAAACAGGAAACAAGTGAGCACCGGCAGTTGAGTGTAACCCAAAAACGGAAAGGAGCCTTGAGTAAGAGAGAAAATGAGAGCTCGGTGCCAGGGCAGGTCAAACGCCCTCAGCACGGGACCCGCATCCATCCCGGCCTGGGGAGCCTCGCTGTCCTGGGCACCCCGAAACTGAGGGTCCCTCTGGGCACGCAGGAGAGGTAGGCTTTGCTGCTCTGGGGCATCACCTTAAAAAATTGAAAAGTAAGGAAAATAAGGGGGGTTTCTTGCTGTTGGTGAGCT